AATACATACATGTGGCTCTGTTGCATTGTTTTTTTGGGGAACCAGGGACTTTATGTCTGTGAACCAACTTGTGTTTGAAAACTGGGAGTGACTGTAACTCTCCATTATGGTTGGGAAGTCAGGATTTAGACTGCGAGGTCTAGGGTTTTTACTGTTTATAGATCAAGTAATATTTTAGTAGACTGATTTTTAATTTTGTTCGTTAGAAATACCATGTTCAATTAAGCATTACTAAAGCTCTCTGCAGGTTGAAATTTTCTGATTGGCACTTTTGGTCCATGCTGTCTCTTAACATAATTGCTCACACCTTTTTCTTACTAAATTCTGCCATTTGACCTCTGCACCCTGGGATCTCATCATGCCTATTATGAAGTCATTTTCAATGGTGCCATCTCTCCATGTCATTCCCAATTTACAGGAGGCAGCCACAACAGAGTTTTTCAAGAACACAGATTCCCTTACTAATATATTTATGAATGTTTTAGTGCATTGTCCTCTGGGACCTCATGGATGGTATAGCAGGAGGATATGTCCATAATCAAGTTGTACCTGCTAAATCCACTCGAGCATTCCAATTTTTCTAAGCATCTCGATTTCTTTTACATTTTGCCAGGAAAGTTTGGGCATTTCATCCTCATTAAATGTGGACTCCTTTGGGACTTAAATTTCATTCAGTCAACAAGCAAACTATTAGAGGTACTTGAAGCTGCTTAAGCAAACATGTTGTATTTGGCCCTAGCCAAACTCTTGTGGTCAGACTTGCTTCAAATTCATTTTATACCTAACCCCTAGGTTTTTGCGGATATAATTTATGAAAAGCTTATAATTATTTTTGGATATAAGCTGTCCTCTTTCAGTTACGACATTGTACTTGTTTTCTTTGAGCATGCCTAGATTTGATTTTGGACGCAATAGGAATGAATGGTGGGGGTAAGTTTTGAGAACAGGTATTTCCTTTCAAGGCAACTATCTTATTATTAACAATTTTCAGTCAAGAGGTGGTTGGCCTTCTCAGACATGAGAGGAGGAGCTGTTGATGCTTACAAAAGAGGCTCAAAGAGACTCCAGGGGTTCGAGAGTCTAACCTTCATCTTGAGTCCACTCAGGTTAGCTCCATTCCACATCCTAGAGTCCCACTCCTTCTCAAACAGTGCCTTAACTTTTACAAAAGAGACTTAGAAAGTTGTATATTCACCTTTCACTATAATTATGCAAGCTACAAAATTAAATTTTGGGTCTAATTCTCAGCAGGATCATACCTGTGGTTGCAAGAAATAAGAAACTTTTTAAAGGACCACTTCCAGAGCTCTGTAGCTTTCTTATCATGATGAACTGAAAGTTAAAGACCCTAAATAGTCAGTTTCTTTTGTAAGCTCTCCATTAGAACCAGAAGCAGCCAGTCCACAGGCCTTGTCATTATTACGGCTTAACAAGTCAAACTGTCATTTGGTCCCCTTAGGCACTTGTTTCAATAGGTATGTAATCATGATTAACTACAAATGATAATTAATCATGCCAACTATGTCTTAGGTTACAAATATCCCATTTTCCATTGGCAAGGTTCTCAGCAGTGCATTCAAGGTTAAGTACATAATATAGCCAATTCCTGAAATCTATGTTTCCTGGTACTCCTCCAGTATCAAGAAAATAAAACCACACTAGGGTATTTCAAAAGAAGGAATTTAATGAAGCATTGGTTAAACAGGTGTGGAAGACTAAAAGAGCCAAAAAATAAAACTGAAGTAACCTAGATAGAATAATTGCTTCAGGAAGTTACTGCTGTTAGGTCTAGGGGAAAAGGGATTAACAGAATTTTGAAGCTCAGGGGGCCCCTTGGAGCGAGGATCAGACCTCTATGGAGTGCTTACTGTCCAGCCACCACTGATATCTCTGAGGGGATGTCAAGAAGCTGTTGTAAGAATGCTGGGGAGTGTGGGGGTTGGGGGAGTTGGCAGGAGACTGAAAACCAGAGGGTGATGCTGCAAGAAATGCATGCAGACAGGAAGAAGGAAGTTGTCCCCCCACTTTTGCTAATTATCTGGTATCCCCTATTGGCAGAATCTATCAGGAAATAATATGCCAAAGGGAAATATATAACTTTGCAGAATTCTAGCCCCAGCATTACTTGAATAGATCATAGAATGTAAATTTGGAGTTAAGAAAACAGTAAGTCAGTGACCAGCTTACTAACTTTAACCATGTTTCTTGGGTTCTGAGAAGTTGTGACAACATTTAGAGATGTGAAGTATCACTGCACAGGTTCTATTCATAGATACTTAGGAGCCCGCTTTGGATTCCAACAGTGATATTCTTTCCTGCTTTGCACATTTTCTCTGTTGCCATGTCTTCCTTTCAAAATTACTTTCTTTGAATCTAACAACTGGGAGAAGGGGTAGGTTTTTGTCTGTGGATCAGTGATTACCAGAGTATCTGAACTCTGGTGAGATCTAAGCTAGTTACTTTCAGACTTTTTTGACCATGCCCTACAATGAGAAATACTTGGAATCCAAAACACATATATGCAAATATGTACCAGAATCAAAAGTTTTATGAAACAATATTTGGTCCTAACTATTAAGTTACACAGACTGATAATTGATAATTTCTATTATGTTCTGTTCCGTTCATTCCATTCTATTCTTTAAGAGACTATCACAATTCACTGAATCAATAGTGACTAAAGCAGAAGTGTGAAGTAAATGTAAATATTTTTCCTGCTTAATTGTATGAACAGTGCTTAGCTTGGCATGTTTTTGGTCATTCTTGTTGTTATTCCTATTCTGGTTCCCAGTTCATTGTTTTTTGTTAAATTCAGGATGAGAAGAAAGATGTTTTACAACTGAGCTGTAGTTCTGGTGGTGATGGAAGATATGTACAGTAATGTTTCAGTGGAAGCATTCCTTATGTTCCTTCCATTCTTCCAGTGAGGAAAAGAAGTGACAATATATATGATAAATTAAGTCAGAGAAAACCCAATTCTTTAACTATTATTCCTCAAGACATTGGTTTATCAAATATTTGAGTACCGTCTATATAGTATAAAATCTTGAGCTCAGGGCAAAGGCTATAGCCATTAAAAACACAAATGTCAGCTTTGCCCTTGTGGAACTTACATTCTACTAGAGACTTAAATGTCAAGTGATTGATTATACAATTAAATATATAGTTATTGATAGTGGTGAGGAATTTGAACTAGTCTGAGGCAGTAAAACATGCTCTGATTTGAAAAGCATTTAGTGTGAGCTATGAAGGATAAATATTATTAGCTAGAAAAAACCATGGAATTTGGGGATGGGATGGGAAGGAAAGAATAGTGTTAGAAGGAGTAGTCTGTGGCCCCCCATGAAACAGAAAGATCAAGGTGAGAAAGAAGAAATGAAAGACTGTTGTGGCTGTTAGTGTAGAGAGGTGGAGATAGCACAGCACAAGATGGGAATGGGAAGGCACATAAGATCAGATCATACAGGGCCTTGTATGCCACTTAAACCATGTGAAGAGCAGAGGGGAATATCGAAGAAAGTGATATGAAGACCTTTCTGTCTTTAATTTCACTCTGGTGGTGATATGGAATGAAATGCAAAGGAGGTTAGTTAGGAGGCTTCTGCATTAATCCACACGAGAGGTGATTGTGGCCTAGACTAGGGTGGCAGCTTCAGAAGGAAAAGGTGGGTGACTTACCTAAAAGATACTTAGGGGCCAGCCAGGTGCTCAGTTGCTTAGAGCGCGAGCTCTGAGCAGCAGGGTCGCTGGTTCGATTCCCACATCGGCCAGTGAGCTGTGCCCAAGCTGAGCTGCCGCTGAGCTGCCAACAGGTGGCAGGATGGCTCAGCTGGTGAGAGTGCGTGCTCTTAACAACATGGTTGCTAGATTGAAAGCAGCGACTGGACTTGAAGCTGAGTTTGAGCCCTCCACAATTAAGATTGAAGGACAACAACGTGACTTGGAGCTGATGGGTCCTGGAAAAACACAATGTTCCCCTTCCCCAAGTCCCCGACACTGTTCCCTTCCCCAATAAAATCTTTAAAAAAAAAAAGGTATTTAGGAGGTAAAATTGAAAGGACTGATTAGATCTGGGAATTGAGAGAGAAGAAGGGGTCAAAGATATGCCAGAGGTTTCTGGCTTGGGGAGCTGATATGAGGAATAAAGGGGGAGGATCAGGCTTGGGGAAACTTTGGATATACTGAGTTTGCAGTCTTACTAGGGACCAGGCATTGTGCTAAGCTTTTCATTAATAGAATTTTCCCATTTTACAAATAAGGCAGCTATTAAGTGAGCAAAGCCAGGATTTCATTATTTTTTTAAGAAAGGAAATATTTGAACATGTTTAAATGTTATTGAGAAGAATTCAGAAGAGAAGGAGGTGTTGAAGATACTGGAAAAGGAAGGGATAATCCATAATATAAAGCTAATGAGAAGATGGTTTTAGATTTTGCAAAGATAGAAAAATGTCTTCTCTACTTTATAAGAAGAGAGAAAGAGAGTGCATATGTGGGTTAGTTTGTGGATTTGATGTCAAAAAGTAAGGAAATTTTATCTTGATGGCATCTGTTTTCTCTGCAAAGTAGAAAAAATTGTCTTTTAAGATTGGGGCATGAGACAGGGAGAATGGAGGTTTAAGGATGGTAAAGTTTCAAAATAGTTTTTGTGGAAAATAGAGTTAATGTTTGAAGTAATGATTCATATTTGAGAATGGGTGAATTCACAGAGTTTAAAATGATGTTCTACCAACATCATCACTGCATAAGGCAAAAATCTAATTACGTAAATGCTCGATGGTATGTATGACACACTAATAGACATTGAAAAGCAAGAGTGGGACGGAGAGTAACGTGGCCTTCAGTCACTGGGAAAGATTTCGTGGAGGAAGTAGAACTTAAGTTAGGCCTTGATGCACAGGTTTCATAGGAAGAACAACAGAAGCCAAGTGTGGAGCAGGTCCTTAGTGGTTATCCGCAGTGATTTCGTTGATGATAACCTTTCTTTTATGTCAATATTTCAGTGACTATGGAGGTGAGACTATACCAGGACCTGCATTTGATCCAGCAAGTCACCCAGCTCCAGCTCCAGCTCCTGCTCCCTCTTCCTCTTCGGCATTTCGACCTGTAATGTCATCTAGGCATATTGTAGAGAGGCAACCCCGGATGCTGGACTTCAGGGTGGAGTACAGAGACAGAAATGTTGATGTGGTACTTGAAGACAGCTGTACTGTTGGTAAGGTTTTTTCCTACCATAGAGCCTTCACAAATAAACAATTTATTAGGCGAAGACTCAACTTCTATTTTTTTGTTTGACTGCTAACAAGAAGGGAAAAAAAGCAAACCGAAACTGTTTTCCCATATAGATTATTGTGGTTTATTTTTAAATACCATGTTGAGATTGAAGTAAGTTTGAGAATAATTTTTTTTGGTTCTACATATATGGAATGATATATGATGCTGTTTTAGGACAGGTGCTAATTAAACATCTAGGAACTTAAAAAATACCATGAGTACATTGCATATTGGACTTGATAGCCAAAGCTCACTCACTTTTCATACTGTGGTTAATGAGAGATCAGAAATAAGACATGTTTCTATCACTCCTTCTCCCTGCCAGGTGGATAAATGCTTCAGTACTGTCCTTTCAAAGGAAACTCAGAAGCGTATGCCTGCTATTTTTAGACAGACTACCAGATTTCTAGAGAACCTGTGTTGAACTCCTGTTTAGTTTAGATTATTTGATCCATGTTAATTGTAGAACCAGAAATTGTATTAATTTCTGTTTTAATGTAGTTTTGCCTTAAATCTAAACTCCAGATATTCCTGAAATTTTACTTCTGTTCCTTTTTGGGGAGATTCTTTTCTAATTTTATTAATTGAGGTACATTATAGGCAAAAGCAAGGCTGCTAAAAGAATGATCATTCCCAATAATCAGATTATTCCCTTATTTAAAACCATTTAGAAAATGTCCATTATTTTTAGGATAAAATTCAAATCTTTTAACATAGCTGTTAAGTCCCTGCTTGATCAGGTTCCTGCTAGATTTCTAGTTTTCATCCATTTACTCCCCTCGCTGCTCACCATGCCTGAGTTGTAATGGAAGTCTTTCAGTTCCTTGTATAGGTTGTTAACGCACTCAGGGTCTATGTGCTTGTTCCTCCTTCTGCCTGGAGTGCTCGCCTAGTCCAGCCATTTCTCCCTGTGCTCATCCTCATGCCCCCAAGTATTCTCCTTGCATCCTCTTTTAAAAATTGTTTACAAAACCCACCTAATATGATATCTAACGCCTAACATTTTTAAGTGTACAGTATAGTTTTATTAACTATATGCACATTGTTGTACAGCAGCTCTCTAGAACTTTTTCATCTTGAAAAACTGAAACTTTGTATCCATTGAACAGCAAATTTCTATTTTCCCTTCCTAATCCCCTGGCAACCATCTCTACTTTCTGTTTCTGTAAGTTTGACTACTTTAAATCCCTCATATAAGACTCATACAGGGGCTGGCTGAGTGGCGCATTGGTTGGGAGCTGGCTTGGGATGCCAGCTTTGAGCAGCAAGACCCCGGTTTATATCCCATGTCAGGGCCAGTGACACTGCCCTCTACAGCTAAGATGGTGAACAACAGCTCGACTTGGAGCTGGGCTGTCATGAGTTGCCGGTGAGGGCGTAGGCTGCAGCCCCTTCTGCAGTGGGCTGCCATAAGCTACTGTGTGTGGCCAGCAGCCAGCGTGAGCAGCTGGCAGCCAGTGTGAGCTGCCAGGAGCCGTTGTGAGTGGCCGTCCAGTGGTCGGTGACCGACCTGCCTTACTTGGGAAGAGCGCAATGATAATACCAACATGGGCCAGTGAAGCAACGTCCTCCACAACTAGACTGAAGAACAAAACGACAGCAACCCCGATTCCCCAGCGCTGTTCCCCTCCCCCAATTCCCCAATAAAAATCTTAAAAAAAAAAAAAAGACTCATACAGTATTTGACCTTCTGTGTGTAGCTTGTTTCACTTAGTATAGCCTCATGGTTCATCCATATTGTAGCATATAGGATTTCCTTCATCTTTAAAGGCTGAATAATATTCCATTGTCTATATATGTCACATTTTCTTTATCCATTCACCTGTTGATGGACAATTAGGTTATTTCTGCCTCTTGCTATTGTGAATAATGCTGCAGTGAACATGGAATTGTAAATCTCTTTCGAGACCCTGTTTTTCATTCTTTTGAATAAATACCCAGAAGTGGGATTGTTGGATCCTATGTTAGTTCTATTTTTAATTTTTTGAGGAATTTCTGTATTCTTTTTCCATAGTGGCTGTATATTTTATATTCCCACCAGCAGTGCACAAGGGCTCCAACTTCTCCACATCCTTGCAAACACTGATTATTTTCTGGTTTTAATTTTTTTGTTTTATTTTTAAATGTAATGGCCCTTTTAACAGGTATGAGATGATATCTCATTGTAGTTTTGGTTTGCATTTTCATGATGATTAGTGATGTTGAGCATCTTTTCGTATACCTGTTGGTCATTTGTATGTCCTCTTTGGAGAAATGTCTAATTGAGTCCTTTGCTCATTTTAAAATGGGATTACTTACTTTTTTGCTATTGAATTATAGATTATCTTTTTATATTTTTAATATTAACCCCTTATCAAATACATGGTTTGCAAATAATGTTCTCCCATTCTGTAGGTTTCCTTTTCACTCTGTTGATTATTTCCTTTGCTGCACAGATTTTTAGTTTAATGTAATCCCGCTTTTCTGTTTGTACTTTTGTTTATGCTTCTGGTGACATATCCAAGAAACCATTGCCAAGGCCAATGTTATGGAGCTTTTTGTTTTCTTCTAGTTTTATAGTTCAGATAGTACATTTCAGTTTTGAATCCATTTTGAGTTAATTTTTGTGTATGGTGTAAGGTAAAGGTCCAATTTCATTCTTTTGCATGTGGATATCCAGTTTTGCCTACACGCTTTGTTATAAGACTATCCTTTCCCCATGGTGTAGAATTGGCACCCTTGTCAAAGATCATTTGACTTATATGTGTGGGTTTATTTCTGAGTTCTCTATTCTGTTCCATTGGTCTATATGGCTGTCTTTATGCCAATACCATACTGTTTTGATTACTTTGTAAAATGTTTTGAAGTCAGGAACGTGAGGCCACCAGCATTCTTTTTCAAGATAGTTTTGGCTATTCAGGGTTCTTTGTGGTTTCATATGAATTTTAGCATTGTTTGTTCTAGTTCTGCAAAAAAAAAAAAGCCATCGGGATCACATTGAATCTATAGTTTGCTTTGGGTAGTATGGACATAGTTAACAATATTAAGTACTTCATCCATGAACATGTAATGTCTTTTCATTATTTGTTGTTTAATTTCTTTCAAAAATATTTTGTAGTTTTCATTGTATAAGGCTTTTGTCTCCTTGGTTAAGTTTACTTCTAAGTATTTTATTCTTTTTGATGCTATTGTAAGTGGGATTTTTCTGCATCTATTGAGATGATTATGTGATGTTTTCCCCTACATTCTGTTAATATGGTATATCATGTTGATTGATATTTACATGGTGAACCATCCTTGCTTCCCATGGATAAATTCCACTTGGTCATGGTGCATATGATCCTTTTAATGTGCTGTTGAATTTGTTTTTCTAGCATTCTGTTGAGGATTGTTGTGCCTATATTCATCAGGGATATTGGTCTGTAGTTTTTGTTGTTGTTGTTATTGTTCTTGTAGTGTCCTTGTCTGGCTTTGGCATCAGGGTAATGTCGGCCTCATAAAATGAGTTTGGAAGTGTTTCCTTCTCTTAAGTCTTTGGGAAGAGTTTGAGAAAGATTAATGTTAATTTTTCTTTAACTGTTTAGTAGAATTCTCCTGTGAAGCAGTCTGGTGCTTGATTTTCTTTGTTGGTATGTTTTTGATTACTAATTCAAAGCCCTTACTAGTTATAGGTCTGTTCAGGTTTTCTGTTTCTTCATAATTCAGTAGTGGTAGGTTATGTTTCTAGGATTTTCTTCTAAGTTATCCTATTGTTGTCGTGTAATTGTTTATTTTAGTCTCTATAATCCTTTTTATTTCTGTGGCATCATTTGTAATGACTCCTTTTTCATTTCTGATTTTGAGTCTTTGTTTAGGATAAAGGTTTGTCAATTTTGGTGATCTTTTCAAACATCAGCTCTTAGTTTTGTTGATTTTTTTTCCTATGGATTTCCTATTCTCTTCATTTATTTCTGCTCTAATTTTTATTTTCTCCCTTCTGCTAGTTTGGGCTTAGTTTTTCCTCTTTTTCTAGTTACTTGAGGTATAAAGTTGTTTATTTGAGATTTTTTTTTTAAATTTAGGCATTTTGCTATAAACTTTTCTCTTAGTACTTACTGCTTTTCCTTTATCCCATTAGTTTTGGTGTGTTGTCTTTTTGTTTTTGTTTGTCTCAAGATATTTTCTAATTTTTCTTTTGATTTCTTCTTTGACCAGTTGGTTGTTCAGGTTGTTTAATTTCCACATACTTGTGAATTTTCCCAGAAAAATGACATGTTAGGTCACAAACAAGTCTTAACATGTTTAAGAAGATTAAAATCATAGCAAGTATGTTTTCCAAACATGATATAATGAAACTAAAAATTAATAGTATTTTCCTTATGCCCCTTTCTTCTTAAATTTATTAAGACTTGTTTGTGACCTGACATGTTATCTATCCTAGAGACTCTTCCATGTGTACTTGAGAAGATTATGTATTCTGCTGCTGTTGGATGTAATGTTTTGTACATGCCTATTAGGTCTATTTTGTCTACAATATTGTTCAACTCCTCTGTTTCCTTATTGATCTTTTGTGTGAAAGTTTTATTCATCATTGAAATCCCCTATTATTGTGGTAATGTTGTGTAGTCTTCCCCTCAATTCTGTTGTTGTTTGCTTCACATATTGGGTGCTTTGATGTTGGGTGCATATATGTTTGTAATTGTTACATATTCCTGGTGAATTGACTGTTTTATGGTTTTATATGTCCTTTCTTTGCCGTGACAGTTTCTGATTTACAGTCTGTTTAGTCTGATTTATAAATTTGGCTCTTTTGTTACCATTTGCATACAATATCTTTTTCCATCCTTTCATTTTCAGCCTGTGTGTCCATGAATCTAAAGTGAGTCTCTTGTAGACAGAATATAGTTGGATCTTGTTTTTTTATTCCATTTAGCCAGTCTCTTTTTTTTTTTTTTTTAAGATTTTATTGGGAAGTTGGGGGAG